TTGGCTAGATCAAAAAGTAAATTAAGAATGGAGTTGAAAAATCATCACAATTTATTTTATATTTTAAAATTAGCACATCCAAATTATCTCTTCATTTCACCATATCTCATATTAGAGAGAAAGATAAAAAAAACAACTCAGACTTCATGAGAAAGATACAACAAAACACAAATTTCATATATAAAAAAAAGTTCATACAACAATAATAAATAAACAACACTTATCTAAACTCTTTCTCAAAGTAAATCCCTTGTAGCCTCTCTCAGAAATGTAGGAAGAAGAAATCTCTCACTTCTCTCCTTCTCTAACACTCTTAGAGCGGATCTAACATTTAAACTCACCACAAAAACACAAAACTCTAAAGAAATAAATGACTAATAGACTCTAAGTAGCTGTGGGGAATGTGAAATAGCGTGGAAGAGAGTGGAAATTGGTTGAAAGGGGTGAAGGGGGTGAAAGGGGGCTCTTTTCTGATCAATTTCTGCTCTAAATAGAGCCTAATGTCGGTTTTCCAATAGGTGCATCCCAAAACTCTTCAAAAAGCATCCAAATTCATCAAATCTTCTAAAAGCAAGTCTTGCACCGACATTGGCGTCGTCGACGCCACTGGCGTCGTCGACGCCACTGGCCCATGAACTCTTTGTTAAATTGCACCGTCGACACTGATTATTTCTTCAAAAATGTCATTTTGACTCCAAATTCCATCCTTTTTACTTCTTTTTTGCTTCAAGTCTTAAAAATCAACAATCTGTAATAAAATATGAAAAGTACTCTTTTTTAAAGTGCAATACCACCTAAAATGAGTATAACATATAAGTTAAAATATGCATATGTTTTTGGTGTATCGGTCATCCTTTATAATTGCTAAAATTTTGTTCTAAAAATATGATAGTTCAATTATGATTCAGATTGTTACTTCTAATTCTAAAACTTCTAGTGAATCAGACTAACCTCAGTTATATTTTTAAATAGTGTCAATTATATTTGTAGGAATTCTATGCAAGTATACGTATCATTATCATGTAATATAGGGATTTCTAATTAAGCCCCGAATATTGATCCCACGGAGATCGAGGTTAATCACGGTGACTTTTAAGAGAAGTTCTAGTATAGAATAACATGCCCTAGCTTGAAAGGTTGATAAATGTTTGGTTTTAATTATATCTTACAATTATCATCACAATACTACTTCTACTCCTAAACTAAAATACTTAGCAAAAATCAAAAGGTGGAATATTAAAAGTACCCTTCCTCATGCAATGATTAGTGACATGTGTAAAAGTAAAATAAGTAGTGAGAGAGATTGTGACAAATAGGAGCAATTATATTATTTATATTTACCCTTGGTTATTATTTACCCTTGGTTAAGTAATATAAAGAACATTGACTAATTCATAGTTTAAGAATCCTAAAGACTGGTTAGGCAGAAGAGATACTAGCTCTCACTCTAGAATCTCCTCATCTCCACACCTGAAGGCTAACATCTAGTATTAAGACCTAAAACTAAGAACCAAATTGGGGGTTGTAGCCTGTCAGTCTAAAGTCCTCTAATTCTACACTAATTAAAGATTATTTTCCTATTTAGTTTCACTCAAACATATGGAATACATTCTCATCCATACAATCTCATGTGATTCTACCCCAGTTGATTGAGACAACACCATCACGAATCTTATATGTTCTCGCAACGGGTTTTAACATGCAAGTTGATCAAGTTTACATGTAAATGAAAAATAAAGTAAAATCATCACAATATATTCTCACTCTACTCAATTCTATATCTTACACATGCATACTAATTCATTATAAGAGGGAAGACTAAAGAAAACTACTAACTACACATGGGGAAACAACAAGAACTTTTCATTGGACAAGAGTTTGAAACCATGCAAACAAAGTGCTAGATTCAAATCAAAATACAATGAAAGTACTTATCTTTTATGGAATTCAAACTCTCTTTGTATAGCAAAAGCAATCTCCTCACAATCCTCTACAATAACAAAGTGAAAAGAAAGGAAGAAATCTCTCACTCTCTCTCTTTCTCTCTCACCTTGTCGCCCCACTTGGGGCTCTCACCTAAGCCTTCTTCTTCTCCTCCTCTTACAATTTGTTCAAAAGTCCAAGAGTTATATTAAAAACATTTCCAAGCCTTATTTATAATTTCCCAAGGGTTGCTTAAGTGTCTCTTCAAAAATGTCCATATTCAATGAATCTTCCAAAAGGTGTCTCAAGTGCCTCTTGAAGGTCTTCAAAAATGTCCATATAACTTCCCCAAATTCTTTTAGAAAGTCTCTTTTATCATTTCCAACAAATTCTCTAAGAGACACATGAAGCACCGCTTCAATAATCATCCAATCCAATGCATATTCTAGAAGATATGTTAAAAATCATTTTTTGCACTTAAGCACCAATTTTGGGAGCTTAAGCACCCTCCTCTCTATCTGGTGGTGCCTAAGCACCATTTTGGGCACTTAAACGCTGGGCAATGGCACTTAAGTGCTTGATTTTGACCCCCATGGCTCCAGTGTGCCCCGGTTCAACCCGATTTGCTCCATTTTGCTTCGTTTTGGTCCATTTTTGCTCCTTTTTATCCAATCAATCCAAATTTCTCAATTTGTTGTACCTACAACAAAAAAAAAAAAGAAAACATACCTTTAAAGTGCAATATCATTATAAAATATAGCACGAAAAATAGTACATTTGTAGGCATATCAGTTAATTAATGTTCTTTATGCACTTAAAAGAAGGTAAATAATATGATTTCTCCTATTTGTCAGAAAACTTCATTCAAACCATTAAACATTTAATTCTTACGCTGATTATGATCTCATTTCAAGGGGAAAGACTTTTATATAATTTGAACTCTTTTTCGTTTAACTAGCTTATAATCACTTAGCATTTTTTTTTAAGTTTTGAAATATGATTTGTAGGAATTAGTTACTTCTTTTTACACATAAGCTTTCGACCTTATTTCCAAGTTTTTTGTTTGTTGTTTAAAGTAGAGTTTTTCTAAGTCTACAAAAGAGTTTTCACCTTCTCTGTGGGATCAATACCAATATTTTAAAAGAAAATCCTATATTACTTGAAAGATACGTGCAGTTGTGTTTCAATCATAGTGAAACATTAATTAAGAATTATAATATCTACGTCACTAGTAATCATTGTTGCTATAAATACAAAAAAAGATATTACTAACACGATAAAGAGATCAAGTTTTTGACACTTTTGCTGGGGACTGATATTAAAATATACATCAGAAAGCAAGTATATAAAGTGGTTGATCAATGTTTTGGCGTCGTTGTCGGGAACTGAAATTAAAATAGACATCATAAAGCAAGTATACAAAAGCAATTGATTAGTGGTTATAGTTTAGGAAGTGAATTTATTTTTGAACTATTGAAGTTCTATTAGAAGCATCCACTACCTTACACTTATCCGCGAAGAGGTTCTACTTTTTGTCATATAACCTGCCTATCACTTGTTAATAAATCTAATTTTTAAAGATGCCTTCAATGTGCGTAGAAATTAATACTAACTACATGAATTGATGATAATTATCTCTAGTCTATAATTAATCTGCCATGATATTTTGCTCGTAAAAAGTTCATTTTTCACATCTCAGCCTCAAACAAACTAACAAATTTATAGTAAATTAATTAATAAAAAAATTAATTGAAGGAAAATATGTAATGTGCATGAAAATAAATAAATTTAAGGTATAAATTAAAATCATAAATAATTCAATGCATCACTAACCTTTAGAAATGAAGTTTAGCTCATGTTCGAAAAAGAAGAAAATTATAGATTTATAAATTTCAAACACGTTTACAATGAAAATAATAAGAAGAATGCCAAAAAAACATTAAGAATGAGATTTCAAGTAGAGCCTAATTCTCTCCATTATCATGCTTCAACCTTTGTGTCATGCACAAATGGCTACAATTAGAATCACCGAGAACACTATGTGATAACTCTAAGAATTTCCATTAATCTCTCCAAAAAATCGGTATTCAATGTGCAAATAATCCTCGTAAATTTGGACGCAATGAATCCTCCCAATCTAGTAAGTATTTATGTTAAAATACAGAATATTCTTAACTTGTGCCCCAGGCTCTTTAACTCCTAGGTGTGTACCTACTATAGCGTGGCATCTTGAAGCTGGCATTGGTGCCTAGCTGTTATGTTCTCAAAATTTTTTGATTTATGTTGATGTCATGGTGGTCAATACTAGCAATTAGCTTTAGGATGTCAACCTAATTCAAATGTATGGGCACTTGATTCTAGTGCATGGGGATCAATTTCTCTACTTGATTTGTTAGATCTAGTACTTAACAACCTACACTAGGTGCCTAGGTGCTAAGCTCTTTTTCTTTGGTACTTGGTCTAGGCACCTAATTTGGCACTTAGACATCAATCCAGTGCCCAACATTAAATTTGCTCCAAATTGCACTAGTTACACTCTAAAATTGTTTGAACGATTGAACGAAGCAAATACATACATTTTCTTTTTTATTTCAAAAAAAAAATATGCGATGTTAGAATTTAAAACATTAGTATAACAGAATTCATAAATCATGTACAATTAATCCTAATAAAGTTGATCTAAGGTGGGTGACCCATCTTTTTTTTTCACTATTATCATTAAGCATAAAAAGTCTAATGGTTAAAGAAGGTGCTACTTTCTTCTGTTGTGATCACTTTCTCACATTAAGAGACTCTCTTTTGAGTTTTTAATGATGGATATACTCTTCTTATCGTTGGACCCATCAAAACTCTGAATCTATTAAAAAATAATAGATTTTTCATATGTTCAACAATGAACATATGTTAAAATACTACAAAATAAGTTACTAATTGATGGTAATGTATGGTTTATCATTTGATATGATATGTATCATATAAGGCAGTTAATTCAAATTCTGAAATTTTAAACGAATTAGCAATTGAATCATGGGAGTAACTAGAAAGTTATCAAGCTAAATTTAGGGTGTCATGAATTTACACTTTCAAGATTACACCTGCAAAAGATCGTTGGCTGTGATATGCGATATAGGCGCCCTAAAGCAGAGCGCCGGCGATAAACCCTCGTCCTTTAAACAAGCCTTCGCCTTCCGCCCGCTTTCTGTAACTGGCTGGCGAAAATGGCTTCCTTCTCGGTAATCCAGCGACCCTCTGCTTCCATGCTCGCTGCTGCTTTCTGCAAGGTACGCTTATACTCTTCGCCTTTTCTCAAACCCCATTTAAATCTAGTAAAAATCTCTGCTTTCGCTTCGCGAAACCCCTCTTCTAAATCCAAATCTCTCAGCACCTCTGCTACACCCAATACCTATCACCACCAGCTTCCGCCATCGCCGCCTCCTCCTTCCTCCGATCCCCGCATCTTCCACAACCCAAACCGTAATCCCAATCAATGGAACCCTCAGAACCATCAGCCTCCTCCCCCCAATCAAAACCCTAACCAAATCAGCCACTATGGACCACACCAATGGAGCCAGTCACAGAACCAACCTCAAACTTTACCTCATCCACCTCCCTCAGGCTATCATCCTCCGGCGAATGCTCCTCCACCGCCTAGTGTTACTCCTCCACCAGCTGGCCCTGGGGATCTTGTAGCTCTCTGTCGCCAGGGTAAAGTTAAGGATGCTGTTGAGCTCTTGAACCAAGGTGCTCGTGCTGACCCTTCTTCCTTCTTCGAACTCATCGCCTCCTGTAACGATGCCAAGCTTCTGGAAGAGCTTAAAAAGATCCACGACTTCTATCTGAGATCTCCCTTTCGGGCTGACCTACAAATTAACAACAAACTGCTCGAGATGTATTCAAAGTGCAGGAGCATGAAGGACGCACGCCGGACATTCGATGGAATGGCTGATAGAAATATGGACTCCTGGCATTTGATGATTAATGGTTATGCATCTAACGGTGAAGGGGATGATGGATTACATCTTTTTGAGAAGATGAGAGATGTGGGAGTGCGGCCTAATTCTCAAACCTTCCTTTATGTTTTGGCTGCATGTGCTAGTGCAGATGCTATCGAAGAAGGATTTATTCATTTTGAATCAATGTCTAAAGATTATGGTATTACGCCTGGGATTGAGCACTATGTTGCAATCATTGAGGTGCTCGGAAATTCAGGGCAACTCCACGAGGCATTAGAGTTCATTGAAAAGTTGCCTTTTGAAGCACCTGCAGTGTTTTGGGAGACCATGATGAACTTAGCCCGCACTCAGGGAGACATTGATCTGGAAGACCAAATGGAAGAGCTTTTGGTGTCAATGGATCCTTTGAAGGTTAATCCTAAAAAGATACTCACACCACTAGCAAAGAGACCAGCAGGTATCAACATGCTTTATGGGAAGAACAAGCTGGGAGAATACCGTTTACCACCACCTCCGCCAAAGGCTCCACCTGTGAAGGAACAGGGCTATGTGCCAGACACCAGATATGTGTTGCATGATATCGACCAAGAGGCTAAGGAGCAGGCTCTCCTCTACCATAGCGAGCGGTTGGCAATTGCTTATGGGCTGATTAGTACACCTGCAAGGACACCCCTTAGGATTATCAAGAATCTCAGGGTATGTGGTGATTGCCATAATGCAATTAAAATCATGTCCAGGATTGTTGGAAGAGAGCTTATTGTTCGTGACAACAAGCGTTTTCATCATTTCAAGGATGGGAAATGCTCCTGTGGGGACTATTGGTGAAGTTGCTGTGTTAGACTGTGGTAAACTTCCAAACATTTCTCATTAGATTTCAGGTTTATGGTGTAAAAAAAAGTTTTCTACTGTTCTGGCTGGCATTACAGGCAGATTGTTTAGCTGTCAGAAGGGTTTGAATTGCAGATTTTTTTTCCTTGCATGATATGGGTTCTGCATGTGGCCAATTGTCAGCTTGTACTGTTTTAGTACTTTCTAATTACTATCTTATGGAATGATCTGAAATACACGGAACTCTATTGTTAATTTGTTTCTTCTTAAATGTGGATTATCGTATTTATATCATTTTAAATGCCTTGCGTGATCATATAAATACGTCGCATGGTCATATCCAAATTCCTTGTATGGTTCTATTTGGAAATTATATGATAAGGAAGTATTTTGCAGGGTTATGCAATTTTTTTATGTTACGTATTGTAAACCATGCTGTTAATAATTACCTTGCATTGCTTAGCGGGTCTGGCATAGCTTAATTTATTGCTTGCTGGACATGTAATGCTTAATTAAGGTTTTCTTAATTGGCCCTGAAGCATTGCATGGGATCCTTACAATGCGTCGCATGGTCATATCCAAATTCCTTGTATGGTTCTATTTGGACATTGTATGATAAGGAAGTATTTTGCAGGGTTATGCAATTTTTTTATTTTACGTATTGTAAACCATGCTGTTAGTAATTTCCTTGCATTACTTGGCGGGTCTGGCATAGCTTAATTTATTGCTTGCTGGACATGTAATGCTTAATTAAGATTTTCTTAATTGGCCATGAAGCATTGCATGGGATCCTTACAAATTCACTGGAATTGTAATTGGTTTAGTATCTATCTGTAGTTTTGATGTGTTGTATGGTATTTGATTTGTACTGACTTGTGACCTAGGGTATTACATATGCTAATTGTTTCTATATAATGATAGTTGTATTTTGGGAAACGAAGCAACCAAGTGATCACAGCTGTTTAAGAACAATCCAGATACAAGATCATTTATCAACTCAAAACTTCTAATATTTGATCTCACTTACAAGCTTAGGAGTTTTCATTAAGGCGTATTTGGTTAGAAATCCTAGTACTATTAGTTTTCATATCTTTTTATTTGTTGTCTATTTATGCGTTTATGCATTTTTGCAAAATGTTAGAAAGTGTTTTTTATCTGTTTATGTTGAGATTGGGTGTACTTGAAGTAAGAAAGGCTGATATTATCTCCTACCTCATAGTTGTGTGCTTTTGTGACATTTTGAAACTCAATTATTTTCTTCTCCCTTGTAAATAGTGACCATTTATTGAATGAAACATGTCTTGTTGTTTTCTATTAACTTGATTAGTTTCTTATTACTTGTTCAACAAATTAGTTTTAGAATCTAGCTTCAAGTTTCATGAAGAATATAATTAACCATTTTTGGAATGTTGATCGTTGAAGCACAAATTTGATTTAGGTTTTATTTGATCCAAAAAACTTGACAAAAACTTTCAACAACTTTACTAGCCTAATGATAACCTATAAGTTGAATGAAGAATATGATAATAAAGGTGTATCTAATTGTAAGATAAACGACTCAAAAGTCTATTGGCCTTTGTATTGCTGACCTTGAAATTTTTTTTGAGGTATGTTGCATTTGTTTTGTCGGTGTCAGCATTCTAATTGAATTATTGAACCCATATTGGCCATACACAATCCCAAACTAATAGGCAATTCTCTCACGACCTCAAAAGTCCTAATAGACTTAACCCAGCCTTAAATGCCAATGCACATTGATATTTCCAAACTAATCTTTTTTGGAATGTTGATTGTTGAAGCACAATTTGATTTAGGTTGTATTTGATCCAAAAAACTTGACTAAAACTTTCAACGTCTTTACCAGGCTAATGATCACCTATAAGTTGAATGAAAATAATGATAATAAATGTGTATCCAATTGTAAGTTAAACTACTCAAAAGTCTATTGGGCTTTGAATCACTTAAATATTATTGAACTTGGAAAAGTTGTAAGGTACATGTGCATTTATTTTGTCTGTGCTAGCATTCCAATTGAATTTTTGAACCCATATTGGCCATACACAATCCTAAACTTATAGGCAATTCTCTCACTGCCTCAGAGTCCTAACAAGCTTAGCCTAGCCTTTAATGTCAATACACATTGACCCAACATAACTCCCTTACGCTTAATGTTCTCACGATTGACTCAATTAACTTTGTTAGGCTCCAATTGACTTAACATTATCGCAAGTCATTGGATCAACCATAATTGACCTACCTAAAAGGCTTGATAAGCTTGTTATCACGTGAATTGGCCGTGATTGAATTAATCAAAACCTCAGTAGAATTGATGAGTTTGGCCAATCCCAAGCAAACCAACTAGATTTTTGTCAACTTATGTGGACTTAGGATCACTTATTTTGACTCTAGTTCTCATAAACAGGCGCACATGTGGACTTAGGATCACTTATTTTGACTCTAGTTCGCATATTCACTTGGTGAATCTAGGGCAACCTGTCTTTGGCCTATGATGATCCATCTTGAGTTATGCTAATTTAGTGTAATTCGACTTGGCCTAATTAGATTATGATTGGGTTTGTTATAATTTGGCATTAGTTGACTTCATTGGCTTAATGGACTAGTTGAATTCCATGTCACATTGTTCAACTCTCTAACTAACTTTATTTGTTCAATTAGACCTACCCTAAATTAGATTACACCCCAATTTGATGTAATAATTATAATTGAGCATTTAATTTTATTAATTGAGATGTTTGATAGGTAGCCCACTTGAACCCAATTGGTTTTGCTTTGACTCAACCTTATCAAGTTGACCTTTGAATGAATCCATTGATATTTATAATCCTAGTTGGTCTCGCATGACCATATGATGGTCTTGAAGCCATGCAATGTTCTTTCAATTGATAATTGAATTATTTTAGAATCCAACTTAAGTTAAGTCCAAGATTGAGTCAAATTTAAGTTTAAGAAAGCTCTATATGATAACCCCAAAAATCAAATTTAGTACAGTTCGATTTCTAAGACCAAATCATCCACGTAGCATTCTACTTGATTGTGAATGAGGTCATCAGGGATCATTGGATGATTGAATTGCACATTTAAGATTATAGAGAATGCCCCTAAACCATTGGACCACTCTGTTGGTCTAAAGATGCAGGGTACTCTATCATCTGAGTGGACTTTTTCAACTTCAAGATATTTATTTCAATTATAAATTACTATCCTAAATTATAGAAGAGGCATGAGGATTCCATCTATTCAGTCTGTTGACACAGCTTATTACATGGATAGATTTAAATCAAATATCTTTTTAATAGCGATGAGCAATGCCAATAATATAAATTAAAAATTGTGAGAATTTGATCTTCCCAATAGAGAAGTATTGTTGACCATGAAGAATCAAGAGTTTGTGAGTAACAGACAAGTTGTGAAAATGGAGCATATTACTATAATAATTTTGATTACTTTTGAATATGATGTCCACTCATGCTTATTTGTGGAGATATCAAAGGATTCTTCAAATTTCATCTTACAGTGATAAACCTCAAGCATTAGAGCATTGATCACAACACCCAACATAGATACGCAACGATGATAAATTGTCCATTCCTTTGACCAGACAGATCGAGAAGCAAAGGTGGCTAATGCCAAGTGCATTTGCAAAGAAATTTTTTAGGTAAGCCCTTGTGAAATACAAAATAGCACCTCTTGAATCATATAGAGAAATGATTGATCAAGTCGATCATACGACTTTTCTAGTCGGCCATGTCATTATATGATATTCATGACACTCTAAAGTGTTGCTCATTTTTCACTATTTTGAAATATTCTCTCCTTTTGTGATTTCTCGCCTCCAATTAATGATCATCATTATTTTCATTGAGTTCAAGACGATGTTTATCAACCAATGGGGAATTTCCATACATGCACCACAATTCTTTTGTATTTACTTATCTAACACCTAAAATTTCATTTTTACTTTTATAACGCTTTGGCGACAAAATTCTATGTATAAAAATATGTATTTCAATTTAAAAAAGTTAATTGTAGTGTTCTTTTTTATTTTATATCAAATATTTGAGTTTTATGTATGTAAATATGAAAGTTTAGATGTTAGGTATCTAATCACACGAGAATTGTGTGGTATGTGTGTAAATGTGCATCACTTAATTTGTTAGTATCTAGAGGCCTCCGAAAAAATCTTACACTCTTTTGAAGTTGACAATAATATGTCGTGTTATTGTGAGGTTCAAAGGAAATGCTGAAAAATAATAAACTTGGAGTTTGTAGTTTCCTAAGTCATCCTCCTCCAATGCCTATGGGAAGTATCATTTAATTATGCATTTGGCTTGTTGTATTGAAGGATGTTGGTTGAATAGTATGGAGTTGCCAATAGCTGTGTATTGTTGAATATTATAACAATATGGTCAAATTATCACTTAACTCGTTCGGGAGTGACTTCTGTAAGGCTTGACCTCTAGAGAGACCTGGACTTTAATAGGGAATATTTTTTGACCTAGGGGATGGAGAGAACGTTCATAGAGAGGCCGCACCTTTAAAAGCATTCATTTTGTTAGGAGATACTCGTCAATTTGGAAAGCTACTCAGAATCACTAGCCTATCCATCATTCGTAGAGAAAAGATGTGAGCCCCCATTTGATTGTATTACAAAAAATCATTGTCGATATACCATTATCTAATGATTATCTCTTAACGAGTGTCTATTGTGGAACTCATGAAGGCCATCCAAACGAAAAAATTTTGTTAAAGTGTATAGCACTCATGATGGCAGAGCACTTGAGGGATTCCTTAAAAAACCGTGTTCCATAGGTATCTTGGGCTTGTTATTGAGAACTGCCATCACTTGAGAAACTTCAAGAGTTGTTGATCAAGACCAAGAAATTGAAAGTGTTTATCCTATTTGAGCCTCGTAGGAGGCTACGCAAGACACTCATGGAACAACAAAGGAAGGAAGCAGGTTTGTCTCGAAATTCATATTGCAAGGATAGTGGCTACCATTCTAATAATAAGAGAAGCATCAAATTAGCAAACTAGCTTGAAATGACTTTGATCGGGAGTAGTGAATTTGGATGCCACCTTTGTCGAAGTTGATAGACCAATAATCAGGAATATATTCATTGACGATTTAGCGATCATAATTATTGTTACATACTAGAAAATTCTCAACAGTAGAGAAATCTTATACCTTAGCTCAGGATAATTTTTTAGTGTACACAAAGATA